GGGGGGAGTTGTTGTTGTTTTTGTTTTCCTGTTGGTCAGAGTGATAAAGCACAGAAGTTCTCCCTTTAGCCTTACACTTCCTACAAGTATACAAATGCCCTAGATCTCTACGGTAAACAATTCTCCTAAAGGACTTTATGCCATGTTTTAAAAGTAGGAGGTGGATTTATCTAAATGGCCTTCCCTCTTACAAAATGACACAAAAAACAGGAAATAGTTCTACAACACACGACCTGACAACAAAATAAAGGAATAGCAAGTTTCAAAGGTGTCTTTGAACTCAGTAAGTCGGAATTAAAATTTTAAATGATAAAAGACAATAGCACTACATACAACAAAAGGGGGTGGGGTAAGCTTTTACAAAAACTGACCAAGTGGCAAAGAATTATAATATGAAGCAACAAAAAAACAATGTGTTAGATAGTTACCTACTTAAATGATGGAAATTATTTTCAGAGAATCTGATTTGTAATGCATGCTTTAAATGCTGTAAGGACTGAATCCAACCATTTCTAAAGAGGTTTAAGAATTATCCCCAATTGAGGCATATAGCTTGAAGTCACAGGAAAATTTCCTTAAAATGTTCAAAATTCATGAGAGCTGTGCATTATGGAACTTGGGGAAAGTGTATAACATATATTCCTGAATACAGCATTATGGTAATAGTGCTTTGCGTACTGAGATCCTCAGGTTTGATATTATTCCTTGTGTATCGCACTGCATATTCTTTGGTATCTTGTATTTCTAGGATAGCAATACCATAAGTTATCAACATTGTGGTCAATGACTGTGTGACGTAAAGCTCTTGTCACATCCTCACAGATGAAAAAAGGAAAAAAGGACTTTTGGGGAGCTTCAGGAAGGAAGACAGGCAAGCTTTCATATTTTCCAGAAAACATCTTCCCAAGGGTTTGGAATTTTTCAACTTTAGGAATTCTGAATCTGCCATTTATTTCAAGCTTCATACTGGATGTAGTCAACCAGTTACTGCACACTACAGAACTCATGCGTTTCTGAGTATACAATCTAGGTTAAGCTAACCCCTTATCTAACAAGCATTTCTTCCAACATCTTTATAATATAGAAGCAACTACAAAGTCAACTAACGGCTGTGACCGATTCAATAGTTGCATTATGTGCCTACATGAAATTTCAGACTGGTATATTGAGACAGGATATCTTCCCTTTTATGTTTCTTTTTTATAAACTTTGAGGGACTAAAACCAAATTTGTGTCAACTTTCTAGCCAAGAACTAGATTTGAATTCTGAATGCAAAAACATTTAAATGGGGACAGGGAGATATAAGACCATACACCTTAGATGTTTTGAACTGTGTGTACTGCTTTTCAATCTCAAATGTTTTATACTTGCATTCCATGTTGCATACTTTTGGACTGGATTGTGGTTTTGTATACAAAAATAAAAACAACTCTTTTCTACCTTAGTATTCAACCTACCTGCCCATAGTTGTCTATGCCAGTTACTAATCTATTTAAATTTAACAAATCAAAAGCTGTCCTTAGGGACTGGCCAAGAGTCGTAAGTCCTTCTGCCTGAAGGTTTTTCAGTTCATTCATAAACGTTGCATGGTTTTCTTTCCATCCAGCCTGAAAAGAAAGATGTAAGATTTTTTTTTATCATTTGAAGTCATGTACACACATGGACACCGATTATAATGTGATGTCCATCAAGTAGGTATTCCATTTCGGGTTTGCATATTTAACTTCACTTCTGCTTGATATGGCTTGGGGAATGTGTTATAACTGTTGTCTCTGGTGAGCAAACTCTTCCAAAGGTGGCCAAGAATGAACCTGCTTGTCCTACACCTTTTGTTAAATAACAACTGTCTTAATACTTTAATAACTTCACTGGGAAATTTGCTAACATAACATCCTCCAAATTGTGTGCAAGGGGTGGGTGTTGCGAAGGTGCTAGTGGAAGGCAGATGGCAGCAGGACTTCTTAAGTTGACCACAGCCGTCCCACCGATCAGTGGCCTTCCTAGTTCCACTCTGTGATGACCAAGTCTCGAAGCCCCCCATCCTGGCTTCCCTGCCAGCTTGGCTGATTCCCTTTTAATGCAAACCCGGGCTAGGCAAGGCTGGGCCCCGCTGTCACTCGGGCTAACTTGAATAAATATCCCCCACAGTTCATTGCTGCCGCTCACGCCGCGGAGGGGAAATGTCGGCCATGTTGATCGTAGCGCCTCCGCCGCCAGGCCGAGCAGGACCCAGAGGGGACGGCGGTGGGCCAGAAATTGCCACCGCGCTGGCGCTCCCGAGCTGGGGAGGGGTGGGAGGCCTCGGGGAAGGGACCTGGAGGCGGGAGCGGCGGTGGGGGAGGGGAGCATAATGAAGAGGGGGCGGGGAGGGCGAGCTAGGAAGGAGCAGGGAAGGGAGGGGGAGGGCGAGGGCTGTTACCTTGATAGCATAGGGCGGCTCTTCGAAAGTGACCAGCATATACCTGTCTCCTCTGCTGGCAGGGTCCCGGGCACGGAGCTGCGGGGCCAGGGTGGGGACGGGAGGGAGAGAGGGAAGCACACAGGCGAGGTTACCAGTCGCAGAAGGGTCGCTGGCCGCCCCCACAGTACCGCACACGCAGGGCCGTCCCTCCGCCGCCCCCCGCACCCACAGCAGCCCCACATGGGCCAGGCCCAGCAGAGCCCGCTCCCAGCGCCCGCCCGCCCGCGCGGTGGGGGAGGGGTCCCCGCGCCCGCGGAGCCCGCAGTAGACCCACTGCCCCCCGCCCTGCCCCCCGCGGGCCACCGGGTCCGGGTCGCCACCGGGGCTCGGTCAGTCGGTACCTTCATGAAGGTCTCTACCGCGCCTTTGGCCGTGTCCAGGTAGGTGGTGCCCAGATGGCTGCGCTGGTTCATAGAGGCAGACGTGTCTATCAGGAACAGTAAGATGGGCATAGTGCTGGCCGGGGACACCGGGGACCGAGGTGGTGAAGAGATGGCAGAGGTGGAGGCACCGGCGGCGGCGGCAACCGCCGATACGCGGGGCGGGGAACGCGGCCCCCGGGAGGAAAACACCGGCTATGGGGAGTTTCTCCCCCGATAGTTGAGAGGAAACTCCCCAGCCCAGGTCCTCCCGGCCGTACCCCTGCCTCCGGCCTGCCTGCCCGCTGGGGCGGCCGCGCGGCCGTCTGTCCGTCCGTCCCCCCCGGCCTGGGGGTCCCGTCCCCACTCCCGGACCCTGTGTGTGTCCCCGCGGGAGACGGGCCCAGTTCCCCACCCCACCCCCAGTGCAGGGAGTGGGGACCAGGGATCTGGCGAAGAGGGGAGTGGGCTGAGGGGAGATTGGCCCTGGGGCTGTTGAGAGAAGTTTGAGAGACTCCCTCCGCACCCCAGCGGTGTCACCACTTTCTCAGCCCCTCTCGCTACTGAAGCGCTTTTCTCTCTCACACTCCGGTTTTAACTCGGGCAGGGGCTACGTAGGCTCCGCCCCTGACACGTACTCGGGTCATGTGATCCACAGACCCACTGCGCTATTGGCTGGTCCTTACAGCCTCATTAGCATATTCAAACAGCTCAGGGGCGGGGGAAGCCTGCAGGCCGACTGAGAGGACAGTTATTGAGCACGCGCGGAGGCGGGGCAGCGGGTGCACGCCGGAGCCAGCGCAAGGGGCGGCGGGCGGCCCGAGGCCCGCAGCTGGGAGGCGGGCTCCGGGAAGGGGCGGGGACAGGCCGCGGAAGCACCGCGGGTTGGGGCGGGGACTGCGTCGGCGCGCGCAGGGCGGCAGTGGCCGTAGGCGTGTGTGTCAGGGTGGCCGGCCTTTCGGCCGTGCACGGTGATGGGGTCGGGAGAAGGGAAGTGGAAGCCGCCCCCAACCTGTGGGTGAGGGCTCTGTGTCGTGATTGAGAGTGCAGGGCTGAGAAGGATGAACTGAAGAAGGATAAGGGACCGCGCAGGCCCACGCGGCGGCAGCAGGCCCGGGCTTGGGGCGGCCCGGGGGGAGGGGAAGTGAGAGGTTGTTTATGACCTGGTATTAATCCCGGCCAGTCATTCGGCTCCGGCTGTAGCCGGTCAGAGGATCCACCGAAAAGGAAGCCAGCCCCGGAGTGCCTCACCCAATCCTGCAAACACGAAGCGGAACTCACATGTGGACTAGTAAAGCAATCGTCCTCTCCAACCTAGTTCCCTCTTCAAATCGTGTTAAGGCACTAGACCATATTAAGAAATAAAAGGGGCTTCCAAATCCTAGTCTGCCGTAGTTTTAAAAGTGAAAAGGGATGGCCACGTTGCGCAGGTGACCCAGAGAATAGATAGGTTCCTGGGAAACCCGCCTCTCAGCATTTGCCAGTATTGTGTCTGTCGGAAAACATTCTCCGCCCTTGTCACATTACCTCAAGTCTTCAATCTGCACCTGCAAGTCCGGAGAATTGTTCTCAATTGTAGGTGGGAAACTGCAAGACCTGCCGCCTGAAATATGAGTTGAATTTGGAACATTGAGGCCTTGTAAGACTAGGTATTCGTATGGCCTCTCCCACTGGCCCTGCATTTCCGGATTTTCTCTATGCTGAAATTCTGGCCTGCTGGGCATCTGAAGTGACATGCTTGTGGCACTTTTTTAAAATCAGGCTTTGTTGTTTGGGCTTTTCCTAATACTTCAAAAACAAAAAAGCCTCTGAACGTTTTTAAACTTACAATAAATAGTAGCATACTGTTCTATGGGAATGAACCATAGTAGAAGCGTGAGTTTATTAGAGAGTAAGACTATAACTGATTAAATAACACCCGGTATATGCTGCAGGCAGTTATGCCTAGGGCTGGTGGAAATTAATATATGAAGTGTGGTCCCTGTCTTCAAAGAATTTACAGTATTCTAAGAAAATTATACAAATGTTGAAAATCAGAGAACGATTACTGTAATTCGGGGAAAAAATCCCTTAAGTTGGGGGCGATAGGAATAGTTTCCAAGGTTTGTGTTTACTGCTTCTTAAGACTCCAGATCTCAAGATGACCCTAGTCAGAGCTCAGTGACAATACAAAAGTTGTTTTCACCTCTCTGGCGTTTTTCTTTCCATGTTAGTGCATAATTTTTAGAGAATTAGTCTCATTTTTTACTAGGGCCTCTCAGGTGTGTGTGAGCATTGCCTGTCTGAAAACGGGCCATAATAATGGCTACTTCCTTTGCATCGTGGAATTATATGAGTCCAGGAAGAGTTAAAGAAGCAGCAGCTGCTAGTGAAAAGGAAGAAGAGAAAAAAATCAGGGCACTAGAAATGTGAAGAAAGGTAGAGCAGCTTTGCGGATAGTCACAGCTAGACGGAGGTACCAGCCAGCAAGGTCATCAGGCCCAGATAGCAGAATGCCTTTAGTCCAGAGAAAGAAATCTCCTCCTCCACATTAGATCAGTTCTGATGGCAGGGAGGGAGGCTAAACCAAAACCATGTTTGAAGGAAATCAAATGAGTCTGCTGATGTAACATACTCCAGTAATCACTGTACCTTTTAGTTATTTGAGGTCATTTTCCAACTGAACCATGGGAGTTTTCCCTAACTCAGTGGTGGTGGCAGGTTGTCAATCTAGGATTGTTATGGAGGTGTGTGGTGGAGATGCAGGTTAGATGCAAAGATCAGGAGAGGCAAGTCTTGGGAACTAACCTGGAGCAAATAACCAGAACCCAAAAAAAAAAAAAAAATAACCAGAACCCATGCTTGTAATGGCACTGGAGACCAAAAATCATGTTTTCAGCCAGGAAGCTCAAAGGTTCTAAATGATAAGGCCATCAAGCTGAACAGGAAACACAAAGTCAGAAACCAGAAAATACTGACAATCAGCCCCTAGACAGAAATGGGCCACACTTACTCTGAAGTGACTGGTTCCAGTGGTTGGTGATAATTTAAGAGCAGTTCTTAGCCAGAACTTATGTATCAGCATTGCCTATAGAACCTTAAAACATAATGCAGCAAGTGTCCACACCCAGGGAAAGAAGGTCCAGTACAGTTAGGATAGAGGAGAGTAAGGTAGCTGAGAGGGTAAAAGCACTTGCCTCCTAGGGACCTGAGTTTGATCCCTGACACCCACTTAGAAGGAGAGACCATATTCCACAAAATTATCCTCTGACCTCCACATGCTTGATGCTGTACATCACATACATCATGTGCACAATAATAAAATTAAATTAGAATTGGAGAGTCCCTGGTCTCTATATTTTAAATTTTTTATTCAGTTGAATCTTATAGTACTGATTAATAACCACATGTTTAGGGCTGGCAAGATGGCACAGGGAGTAAAAACATTTGCCATCTAAACCTGGCAACTTCACCTTGATTCTCATAACACTTAATGGCAGAAGGAGAAAACTAACCCCACAAGGTTGTCCTCTGACCTTCATACTTACATCATGTGGCATGCACCCCTCCCATAACATTATGCACATACACAATACATGTTTAATGTACAAGAATAATATAAGTATTTGGCCTCTAGTGGTATTTTTCCCATATCCTTGTAATTACTGTATTTGTTTTTTTAAAAAAAATGAAAAAAATGCTGAATATGATCACCAATCTGTGTAGTGGATCTGACTTCAATTGTATTTGGCAAAAGAAGAAAGAGACAGAACTGAGAACACAAAATGGCTCTGCAGAATGCGACTATTCCCCAGCAAGCATTGGCCCTGAAGTAAACATGAGATGAACACAGTGACTCTTTCCTTCATTAATTTTCTTTTTGCAGTTCTCAGAGGACTTCTACTCAGGCTTACTTTCCTAAATATGGGCCCTAAATTTAAACCAAGTATTTCCTAAGCATCAACTGAAGAAGTAACTCTTGTGTTGCTAAAATGCCAGACTATGGTGCATGCAAGGGCTGTACTGCTATATTGTGAAAGCTTTTTCTGAAAGGCACTAGTCATCGAGGATGGGAGAGAAGCTGGTCTTTGCTGCTGTTTTTAAAGGGATGCTATCCTGAAACTGGCAAAGTTATTCAGTGGTTAGAGCACTTGCTTTGGCCATGGACCAGGGTTTGGTTCCCATCACCCACATGGCAGCTCACAGTTGTCTATAACTCCGTTCCATGGGATCCATCACCCTCCTATGGCCTCTATAAGCACCAGGCACACAAAGGATACAAGAAAAACACTCATAAACATAAAAAAAAAACAAACAGCAATAACAACAAAAACGGTTTCTTTTAAAAAATAGGGAGTAAGCCAGGCTGAGAGCACACACACGCCTTTAGTCCCAGCACTCAGGAGTCAGAGGCAGATGGATCTCTAAGTTCAAGGCCAGCCTGGTCTACAGAGCAAGTTCCGGGACAGCCAGGGCAACATAGAGAAACTCTGTCTCAAAAAAACTAAAAATAAGGAGTCCAACCCAAATGTCTTTGTTCCACTTTCAGAGGGAATAAATAATTTATATGGAAAACTAAAAACACGGTGACTCTGCTTAAATAATAGCATACCTACAATGTTGAAGTAGTACTGTTCTGACAGAATTAAGAACTGGTGAGTTTTATTCTTTGTGGGAGCCAACCAGAACCATTTTAGATTATTTTAAGCCAACTAAGCAGGGTAGTAACACTTAAAATAATCATGACCCAATAATGTGGCTCTTGATATGTGGATATGCCATTGTCATGAGTGACTGTCTTCTGAGCCAAGGGACCCCCATATTTGGGCATTCAGCTGCACTCCATTGCAAAAGATCATCGCAGTTGGACTTGGTGTTTTATATCCTAGCACAGAGGGACTAAAACGGCAGAATATTCTCACCTGACTACCCAGCTGCTCCCTACCACCTGCTATACCAACTATTGTATCCAACTCTGCTTTAGTTACACATGGTCTGAGGGAGGGGCTACAGGAATACAATCCAGGAAAGACTAGAGAGGAGGTCCACACCCCTGCGAGTAACCCCTCACCTATGTAAGGAAGCCCAATAAACTCATTGGTTCCCCAGAGTTAATTTTAGTGGACACTTGCCTTGGTTCGTTGTTGGGACCTTCGACACCATTTATGTCTCTTCCTGGGAAGAAATTTACCAACAGTCATCTGACTAGAACAATCAGATGAACCCAGTGCGTTCCTCAGAGGTAACGTAACACAGTTGCATGTGGCTGTCTTACCATCTCTGTACCACTT